AAAATATCAGAGTGTGTGTTGWAGATGACAATCCGATCTCTGAAATAACAGGAAAGTATGCACATTCAAAATCCACTAGGGTGGGTGCTGGACCAGATATTAAATAATAAGCATGAAGGAAAACAATGACCTGCGCAACTACACAATTTATTAGAGTGACATTTCTGTTCACTGCCATTCTTAAGACCATTTAATTCTCAATCAAGCTTTGTATTTTCGACTATCCTCTCTATGGACTGACGTACATCTACTGTAATGGAAAATTTAATTAAAAACACCTTGTGGATACACTGCATGTTAGGTTATAATATTTTGCTTGCAGCCCCAAAAACTAAATAAATTAYATAATTCCAGCAGTTAATGTCAAGATTTTCAGTAAATATTGTTTACAATGAGTAGTCCTCAGAGTGTGTGTTGTGAATGATTCTCAGCTACTACCACACCAGATACTAGCACAATATCTATAAAAGTGACTGAATTAAAATAATTGTGTTTTCTAAAGTGAAGGGCAGTGGTGGCCATCTACAATTAGATTGGCTCCAAAAGTAAAACAGCTTTAAAATGAACATTCTAGGCTACGATGGTGTGATGGTATTTCTGTATACCCGGGTACTGAAATATGGTGAGGGTATTTAAAAGCTTTGATGGCATATTAACCCTCTGGAGCCTAGTCACATGACCTTTTAAAATTGATGTAGGTAGAAAGATACACATTCTCCGAGACTCTGTTACAATTTGTGACAAACGTAGAGACTTCAAACTTTACACCTGTTTTTAAATTGTCTCTCATTCTTCTCTCGAGCCCAAACATAAACTCAAACCTCTTTTCTGACTGAAGCCCAACGTTATTTGACAAGTGCCAAAAAATTTACAGGAAAAACACAAAAAAGAAAAAACACAAAATTTGAATGAAGTTCGGTGGCGATGAGTGGTGAACAGAAGAAAGTAACTTGACAGACAATACACGCCAGTTATACCACAGTATTATCTAAAGATATGTCAGTATGAAAAGGATCAATACCATCCAGCCCTACATTCAATGACTACATTGAGATTGAGATATTTTGTAAACAGACACACAAACACACATGGGTAAATATATTATTGCTTGCCTTTTGCCTTTTCCAAGTGAAAGATAATTCATTACAAATCAGTCTTCTTGTGTTTAATGTAAACACATCCTCTGAAAAGTTTTGTGTTCCAATAAAAACTAAAACAAATGAAAACTGAGGGAGAAGATTAGCTTTCATATCAGAACATTTCTCATTTATTTTACTGAATTACACACACACACACACACACACACACACACACACACACACACACACACACACACTTGTATTTGCATCAAACTGAGGACATTGTGTTGACTTTCTTTCATTTTTTAACTGTATTTATGCCTAACCCAGGCATTTTCCCTAAGATTAACCATTACTGGTCTATAGTTAACCCTAACCTGAACCAGAACTTAATTCACACCATACCTCTAAACCTAACTAGTAAAGTACAGCAGAGCTGCAAACAAAGTGAGGACWTYGAAGAGGYCCTCACTTTACATCAAAGACCTCACTTCGATAGTAAATATGGCGCACATGGTCCTCAATCTGTAGTAGAAACAAGTACAGACACATACCTACTATGTTTCTCTCTCCTTGTGGGGACTTTCCACTGACTTCCATTCTTTTTGTGGAAATTTTTATATACTAACCCTGACCATTTACCTTAAAATTAAACTCACAGGTACATACCTGACCCTAAGATTAACCATTACTGGTCTATAGTTAACCCTAACCTGAACCAGAACTTAATTCACACCATACCTCTAAACCTAACTAGTAAAGTACAGTAGAGCTGCAAACAAAGTGAGGACTTTCCAAAAATGACCTCACTTTCCAAAAATGACCTCACTTTGTTGATTAAAAACTTAACATGGTTCTCACTC